GGCTTTAGCTTCTCAGTGCTGTGCTTTAACCCGCTGCGCCACCAGGGAGGGCCCAGCCCATTTTTTACATTGACATTTTGCTTTTTATCTTTTCCTTCTCTTACTACTTATTTTAGCTTCCTAAATGAGTTGAATACTTTAGGTCTGGAAGCTGTGTGCAACTTTCTAGTGTGCTTAATAGGATGAAGCTCCTCATGAGAATTTAAGTTTAGTATAGTGTTAAAATGAATATTGCAAAAGTTCATGTTACCCATTTTATGCAACCTTAAGATATTGTGACTAAGTTACCTTCTGAGTACATGCTGTTGCCCTTGTTCCTATATTACTTCAAAGCATCAGGACTGTAGAGCTAGAAGTAATTTAACAGGTGAGAAAACTTCTGTATTCTTAATTTTTAGCTTTATAGACAGTAACTTACAGGTGACCATTCAAATATATATTGTTTCTCAGATGAGAAAATGAAGGGCCATATGGGTGTTTTCTGTATCGGAAATAGGAATGTTAGTTCATTATTTCCTAGTATCTAGAAATGAGCATTGTTAATTCATAATTTTGTAAATGTGATCATGTGTAGGTCTAAGATTCTTTCAGTCTTCCAGATGTTCTCTAAACAAGATGAGATTTTAAAATAAGTATAAAAATGTTTCTAATGCCCAAGTTTAGGAGTTAGAGATTTGTGGGGATGAGTAAAATAATGTGGTTCATGTACAAATAAATTGCATGTTTCTTTGTAGTTACTCTTAAAAGTTATTTTTCAAATCATATCATTGGTGCTTATATTGTGTCTTCTATGGTAGACACTCATAAAATATCTGATCAAAAATGAAAGCTTTTTTGTTTCCTTTTTTTCCCTAGGAGTTCATGTGCCATACAATTAGACCTTCTAGAAAGTGTGTACAGAATGTTCAGGAGGGATGACCTACTTTCAAACATCACCCGCCAAGCATTTGTAGATCGTTGTCTTCTCACTCTGTTGTGGCACTGTAGCCTGAATGCTTTGAGAGAATTTTGTAGTAAAATTGTGGTGAATGCCATCGATGAGTTGAAATCAAGATTTTTAAAGGTATTGTACAACTGTAATTAATATCAATATTCACAATAATTGACAGCTTCTCTTACCAATGAGAAACTATCATGTGTTTAGTCGTGTTCTCTATTGCTGATGGAAGATTCTCTACATTTTATCATAGCCTATGATTATATGGCTACTTGCATTTGTTTTGTGAGACTGCTATAAAGAATTAGCAAAATTATGCCTTGGAATAAGTATACATTTATTCTTACACAGTTCTTGAGGCCATGAATTAGAAATCAGTTTTACTGGACTTAAATTACGATATTGCCATGCCACTCATGTTCTGGAGGCTTTAGGAGAAAATCCATTCCTTGTCTTCCCTTCTAGCTTGTGGCTGCATCACTCTGACCTCTGTTTCTGTGGTCACAGTGCCTCCTCCTCTTCTGTGTACCCTTATCTCCTTCACATAGGTATATATAACTTCAGTTATAACTCACTTGGATAATCTGCCTATCTGAGGATCCTTAATTTAATGTTATCTGTATGGTCTTTTTTTTTTTTTAATAATGTAACACTTGCAAATTCTAGGGGTTTGAACATAGATAGCTTTTTAAAATTTTTTTAAAAAGATTTATTTATACATACAGAACTGGGGTACAGGCTGGAGGTGTGTGGGGTGGCGTGGTGGTGGTGGTGGTGAGAGGATTCATCAACAATAGAATGTGGAGCAGAACAGGCAGATATACTGAAATACACTGCTGAGGGAAGCATCAGGTGGGTTAGGAGAGGTCTGTCATACCATGTGGGTCACCCCTCTGGCTGGGGATCAAACTGGTGTGCAGTAACTGCAATAGCTTCA